ACTGTGATCATTTTGATTTGTTACACATCTCAGAGTAGCACTGCTCGATGTTTCATTACCGCTCTCCGCAGCTCGCGGACTTCTCCTTCGTAAATTGTAACTTGCTTGGTTTGTAACACTTCTCAAGCTAGCTTTGTGTGACGTTTCTGTACGTGCTGTTAAAATGTATGTGAAAGTTGGGGAAAATATTGAACAAGAAAAAATAATATCAACAAAAAACGATTGCTAGCATCTTGCACACAGTACCTTTTTCATAGGTTTGTTCATCATCAACATTTTTCCTATTATGTAACTGGCTTTGATCATAACTGTGACTTAATGCCTAAAAAGCAAAAATATCACGTTCAAGCTAACAGGATACTGCACTCTTTTACTTTATTAAATGACAAGCAGAATTTAATGAAATCAAAATTTACCTTAGAGCTATTAAACATGTTACTTTTACAGTCATTGCTATCTGAACTTGAGTATGTTAAAGTTTTAACAATACTTCTATCTGGATCACTATTATTCTCAGTGGTATTTTCATCTGTACCAGTGGATTCATGAGGCTTAGAACAATTATACATGTCACAGCTGATTAATATTCCTCTACTGCGGGTAAACACTATAAAAACAAAATGTCACATGGTTGATATCGCTTTCAACAGTGTATCACACTATTTGAAACAACACACAGCTTCCCAAACCTGGACAAGTTTTTATATTCCTTTGAAGTTTTGTAATCTTTTTTCTTTCCAAGATCTTAGATTTTGAATGATTAATACTGTGAGGATTGTTAAGTCTGGCTGATTTTCTGGTCGACCTTTCATTTTCTAACTCATGATTCCTCATATGGGATGTCTTTCGCTTGCGGCTCATCTCAGAGTCTTTTTAATACACTCTATTTAAAATGATAATTATTAGTGACCTGCAATAATCGGTATGGGTATCACAAACGGGCCGATTTTTGCCCTATCAGTAGACAATCAGAAGAATTATCTGTATTTCCGATTGTGTAAAACCAATTGTTGAGAAAATGTACACTTAAAAAATTATATACATTGCATGTTAATACCATGATAGTGTTTGCCAAAGATTAAAAACATGTCAAGTCCAGCGGTCCAAGACAATGTCGAATATGGCACAATCGCTAAACATTATTAATAAATTAATGATAATAACATAATGCCAGAGCTATCAAGGGTGGTTGGGGGGCAGGGCGGCAGGCAGGACAGTTAGGTAATTCCTTCCAGCAAGCCTAAACTGTACCATTAAAATTTGAACACAAGATTTGGGACGTAGAGCCCTGTTATTAGAAACCTCATCTGATTGGTTAATGGCATAGAAATAATAGACATAGAATGCGTGCTAATGACGAATCATGTCTCCACTTTTTCAGGTGCGTGCCCTTTTGAATGTGCCATTTTGAATTTTGGCCAGGAGTGCAAACCACATTACTACAAAGTATAAACAAAGCTAAAACTACGTTTTCATCGTCAAAACGTTTTGTCTTGTTGTCTAATTTGTAGTTTAGGGATAGATTTTGAGTTCCTTGAAGGCACAAACTGTCAAAGCAAATGTGCAGTTACAAAACACTATGAAAACAGTGAAAATCGTGCAGCCTCTTAAAAGCAAAGTAGTTTCGCGAAAATATAATTTACTCAAAACATATTTGCATGCTCTAAACGTAACTGTTATGCTAATATTACAAAATGATAGTTCTTTCTTCGTCGGGTTTCGTCTTTCTGCAATGTAAACGAAGTATTTTCATGTTCTTGAAACATTTTATAGTTGTCGATAAACTGTAAAATTGCCTAAAAATAATCGTCGAAAACCATGGTTTCAAAAGCGTCGCCTCAAGCTCAAGCAACGTAGAAAAATATGAAATATAATTGTGTAAGTTTGAAAAGATTATTGAACTCCATTTATATTGTAAAAGAGTTGAAATATTTGTAGAACATACCTATTGAGTTTGTCTTGATCTTTTGTGTTTTGTTTTGGCTTGCACAACAACATAACGTTGAAAATTTATTTTTAAACGACGATTTCTGCATATATTCTGTCCAGAACTATTTCCTTTTCGTAAAACAACCCACTGGAATGGGTTTTTAGACACTTTCCCTTAGTTTACCAAACTTTTTTTCCATTTTAAGTCCCGATATAAATTTTTTTGCAAACTTTTCAGTTGAAAAAATAATTCGCACTCCGTGCAACCGCGCGAAATTCCCTGCCTCAGTAGTCTGGGACCAACCAAAATGCCCTTTTCAATGCGCCATTTTGTGGAGACAAATTTTTTACTGAGAAAAGATAGGAGCATGCATTCTATGTCTATTATTTCTATGGTTAATGGTCACCAAGGCCCCAGTTACACGATACCAGATTCGTATCGGAGCGACATCTATTTAAGGTGTTTACCGGTCTTACAAATTTTCATATTTGAAGTTTTTGTTTAAATATGTTACATTATCATAATTTTAAGTGCCAAATTCACCTTGAAGCAGTAAAATTTGATGTCGCTCTGATGTGAATCCAGTATTGTGTAACTGGGGCCTTAATGATAGCAGAAGTTAAATCTAAACCTCTCTAATGAGGTCTGGGAACCTCTCGGCATGGGGGAGTTCATTCTCCAGTCTCTCCCGTGAGTTGATGTTATCAATTTTTATGATTTTCACTGCTGCTGAAATTCCAGTCAAATGCATAGGAAAAACATTATAATGAAATTACTGAGCATTATGAGATTTTTAGTATAAAATAACTTGAGCTTGAAGATTTCAATTCTTTTTGCCAAACATGAGTTACAAACATGAGTGACAATAAAAATCGATAACATCATAACACAAATCCATGAAAATGCCATACATTTACTGTTTAAAAATTCTAAAAGCATTTTGCAAGTCGACATTGTCTTGTGCCAAAATTGAAGTTTATTACAATGTGCGGCACCATTCGTTCTCTAAAATCTACCACATGCATGAAGTTTTAATTTTCGCCTATAATTGTCTTACACAGAAAATTTATATTTTTGGATTTAATTGCTGCCAGGAAGAGAAATATATATTCTATGCCTGGTGCAGACATTTATACAGTACATATACTATGTAAATCGTAGAATGCCCAAAAGTAGTATTTCTTTACACATTGCCTTGAAGAAACCACAGAGGACGAGCAAACCATGCATGTAAACTGACATGTTGATGTACAATTTATATATATAGACAAATATGTGACATTGTGACAATTTATATACAGCACGAACATGCTATGTGTGACATAGAATACCTTACATAACGCTATCATAATGTTACATACAAAAATGCCATATAAACTTACCTTTGGGTGACAAAATGAAAGAAAAAACTAATTATCTTCTCCAAAACTTGTAAGCAAGCGAAAAACAGCCATTTTGAATAATTCCGCCAAAACATTGGTCTTCTACGCAGCCTGTTCGCGGGTGCGAGGTTTTCAAAACATACGTAAGCAAATTATGCAAATTACGGGTAAACTTAATTTTCGAATTCCAAATATAGAATCTGAGAGTATACTCCCATAATAGTAAATTCGTATTAATTTGTCTTCTTATTTTATTTTTTTTATATATTTCGTTAAAACCTAGGTATGAGTATATTTACATTACCGGTTACGATTTTAAATTAAAATGACGTTTTTAGTTAGGCAATTTGAACGACATTGCGTAGCAGCAAACGGTTAAAATTGACGCAAGCAGCCAGCTGGCGTTTTCATCTTCTTATTCAAATTCATTGTTTATTTTTACAACTGAAAGCAGTTAATTTTTTTATGCTGCAACATTATTATACATCTTCAAGTACTGTTACAGATAATTTATTTACTTTTTTGTTGTGTTACTATGAAAGAAAGATTACCAGGTGAGAGTTTTTGTTTACTTTTCACACTTGCAGACAAAAAATCACTTAATCTATCCACTTTTAATGATTTAATGAATCAAGGCCAATATATTATAGTCATTGCCATGCAAACCGGAGGAACTTACAATGTTTTTTACGTTATTCATTCAGCGAGTCAACAAAGTTGCGAGCCAGGCGAGAAAAAAACTTGTCAAGAAACAAAAAGTCTTGAAGGGAATGAAACGACCACCTATTCAGAACTTCTGACTCCAGATCACGATTGTCCCTTATCTTCCATGCTAAATTTACCGTTATCTAAAGGAGGGGCAAACACACCTGCCCTACCCAGTTCCACTACAACGGTACCTCCCCCCGGAGAACAGTTTATTCCTGAACATTATCCTTATCCACAGGTAAGATTCCAGGGGAGTCGGTCGGGAAGACTATAAAGGTCGAAAACAGTTCGATTGGACATTGGAGAATCTCAAAATTTTTATAAATATTCTTGTCCATTCATGCTTCATCATTTCAACATGTGTGCTATAGGCAGCGGTTACTAAGCTCTATCGCGCGGCAGTTGGTGATCAGACGGCAGTTATCGAAGTGCAAAAATAATCTTTTCATTATGTGCAGTCGGCTTGTATTTGGTGGCAAATAAAATAATTTTCGTTTAGAATATTCTTCTTGTTAATTTGTATGAGCGTTAACATTTCATTCATTTGCTGCCTAATTTGCTGTAGCGCTTAGAGGAAACATTCGATTGTATTATATTAACATTCATGTGTTAACAATGCTCTGGTGCAGTTAATGAATCAGGTATAGACCAGCGTAGACCATCTTTCTAAAGCGTCGATCAGATAGCTTCTAACTCATGCACGAGTTCGACAAAACGCGAGAAATCATTACTATATGACCAATAAACTTTAACAACATGTAAGCCAGCCTGAACTTTGGAGTAAAACGCATCGCGCTAACCATCTTTACCACTGGTTCTTTTCTAACTTTTCTGCAGGAGGAAATGAAGAAATCTAATGAAGCTATGGTATTGCCTGATGCCTTCAATTTTCAAAACCAGGAACTAGTAATTCCAAATACATGCAACTCACATGCTGACCCAAATACACTTTATTTCCCCTCGAACCGGACTTTCGAAAAGAAAGAAGTGCCATCATTTCATGAAGTACAAGTTAAATCAGACATTGCACGGAAAGCATCAGAGGTATTAAAGAATGAGAAACAATATGCTACGAGAATGACAACAGTTTCGTTTCCTGTAAAGTTTGGAGAAAACAGTCGGAAGAGACAACGAACGAATGACGGTGTTAAAAGTGCGTTGCAGAGAAAAATGGAACACCTTGATAAGGAGAAAGAAAGAAGGTAATGACGCTTTTCGGGAAACTCTGACATCAGTCGCCGTAAGAAAAACACTTAGTCAGTGAACGAAAATGCTCAAACTTAGAAATATTCACAGTGAGAAAATTAGCTATAAGCATATTGGTTTATTTTGGTCATATGGTCGAATTTGCTTTAAATTCATTCATTCTTGGGACTGGATGAAAACCTTCTTCTACACGTCGGGCAATGCAATTAGCTTCATTATTATACTTTATGTTTTAGGCTACGGCAGACGAAATGTTACGATTACCTACGAAGTCTAGTTCCCTGTGGTAATCTGAAGACAGATAAAGCCAATATTCTTGAAGTGACTGTAGCTTATCTTACTTATATCAAAGAAACATTAGGCACGAGCATGGATGTCATTGATAAGGTTTGAAGTTCATAATTATATTTATTATAATGATACATTCAATAATTTCGAAACCTATCTCCTAACCATGCAGAGTATGCCCGTTCGCAGGTTAGTTGGTGCCTATAAAAAGCTTGAAACAAAGCAATAAGGGTGCGCAGATCTCTTGTGCCAGGTGCTACAGTAGTTTAGGTTTAAAAATTAATACGATGTGCCAAATTTTAACAGAAATACTTTGTTGCTCATTATTTAGAATTTTCTTGACGACTTTGAAAGGAATAAGGAATCTTCCGACTAAATGGTCTGTCATTGAACTTAATATACACTCGCTGTATCAATTTAGTGTAATCATTGGAATATGGCATTGTACTTTTCCAATAATTGGCAGGTGATTGTATCAATAATATATATAGTTTATGTTATTTAAAAAATAGTGTCTTTTATTCCGAATTATGTAAATAAGGAAAATTCACCGTAAAAGTTGTAGCTATATGTACGTAAAATGTAAATAAATAATATTTTACTATTGCTTGATTGCTAGTTTGATCCATATTTCAATCTTGATTGGCTTATTAATGGGTAGAGCTAAGCGCCCTGGGGTAGAGCGGCGGACGCCGGGAATCCTGCATGCAGATATGCTTCGAATTTTGCTTGAAACAACAGATATACTTGGCTAGGGAACCATGTTTCCTAAATTTTGATAGGACTTTAGCCACCTAGTCTCCTTCGCAGCCTGTTCGCGGGTGCGTTGTTTTCTGAAATGATTTTTCATACTTCTGAGGATATATAATACAATAAAAATTAACCATTTCCAAAATATATAAAAATATACATCTCCGCTATTTATTTATTATTATTATAGTTACAATGATATCCTGAAGTCAGTGGGATAGTTAGGAGTTTTACTAATGACTTTGCCAGAAGCACTTGGCGAGTTTCGTCCCAAAGGTGATATTAGTCTGGGCTTAGTGAAAATGACATACATCGATAATAAAACAACAAGAGAACATAAGAATACAATGATTTTGAAACCCGAGTCACCGATATTGATCCACGCTTGGTAGGAGCTTGATACTACTTTTGATTTCACTTGCATTTCCCTAAAACAGGATAGGTGAAAGTCATTAGCTTTATAACTAATTTACCATTATTTATTCAACCTCGTTTCCAGGCTATTCCCTCTTGAGGAGGAAATATCTTGGATGGGTACTGAGCCAGTGAAAGGTATAGCCTTAGTTATTCATTAAGTTACATTCTTACCTAAGAGGAAGAAACCTCGTTCGGTACAAAATAGCACCTAACGTCCACTGAATTTCTTTACCAGCGATCATAAATGTGGGATGTAATCTTTTGAATGACCGTGGAAATTTGAAGCCTTCGTGTAGCACGCTCGTCATCCAAGCTGATTTGAAACATTGATACCTACATACAAGGTTTTAATATGAATAATATCGGAATTATGATATACCTATACAGTCTTTTCCCAAATGCAGTGTTACTATTAACCACACTCGTACTCGAAAATTGAATACTTACATGAATCGATGCTCATCAGCAAATGGATACAAGCGGCTTTGGAATCTTTTATACAACACTGGCCATGTAGTTTTACAGAACTCCTGGAAAAAAACAACAACAAGCAAATAAATACCCAACCTGGATCAGAGAAACCAAGAAGGCATAACTCTCGCTACATCTCAAAAGAAAGGGAAATTCGGCAAGTGTCTATTTTGAACTAAATACAGTACTTATATAATTATACCTTGGATACTTTATCAAATGTCTGTGCATTATAAACGCCTTTCAACCTCAGCACATCGTTAACAGAATACCAAAACTCAGAAAATCCATAAAACTCCGTAGTGTTGAACAAAATCTGTGGCTGATGGACACCATTTAAAGAACATGGTGGTGAGCGGCATGCTTCAGATTTATTTAGTAATGGTAGCAGTTTATCACGACAGCTCTCAAAGTTTCCCATTCCTCTCAGACGATACTTCATTCCTTCGCGTGTGCCTTTGATTCGAATGTCAGTCGGTAAACATGGATCAAGATACACACGAGAATGACTTGGAAAAAAAGATGAAGAGTAATTCAATATTTATTAACCAATTAAATTGCATTGCACTCTAATGTGCTCTACTTTATTATTTTACTCCTGACGTCAGATGAGTTTACTCATCAAGAGGAAAGCACTGAGTCACTGACAACATGCTCAATGCGTTAAGGCTGCTTTCCAGTTAAAGGTTTTTCATACAAGCATGTTCGCAAGGAAAAAATTTAAATGTTTTTCAACCCTTTATTATTTTACTCTGCCTAATGCCAGACGATTTTAATCATACTTATTATTCTCAGCAATGTAGGAACACTACAGGTTGATAATGAAAGAGCCCACCTGTGTACTGAGTTATTTCTCTTTGTGAGAATTGTATCAAGATAACGACTTCGTGCAGTGCTTGCACCATAACCAAGAAACGTTGCAACATAAAGTTTGTAATTATGTATTGTCATATGGGAATCACAGCCAAGATTCACCTCTGTGGTTAAATGAGCTGGAAGTTTCTCCTGTACAAAAATATGAATATAATACCACCATGAAGAAAACTTGGATCAAGGCATTAATGCAACAATTGTGCCTAGGTCAAACTAATTGTTTTTCCTAACAACTATTTTTTGTACTTACAGACTTTGGTACTTCGAATGTGATTTGGGTCGAGGCACCACCCATGTCAAGAGAACCAACAGTTTGTTTGCGGAGTTGAGCAAAACTTGAATTGCCATGAACATGAGCTGTTGTAACAATAAAATATGATCATGGTAAATACTTGTTTATGTGAATGTGTGAACAGGCAAGCCTGCAGTAAGTCTGTTAATGCATAGTAAAAATGAAGTAACATTTTAATGAATTGTACTTGCCATCTGAATGATTGAATCTTCCTAGCACATAATTTATTGTTATCCATGCATATATACCTAAAAAAATTCCAAAAGATATTTAACATTATACACTCATGTACACTCATTTTATTTGCAAATTTAAAAAAAAATGATTTGTAACATTTTTTTGATATAAATAATGGTATGAGAAAAAACTTCTAGACCTAAATTTTACAGATATTGCTCGGAAAAAAGGGTTTACCCATGTTTTCACTGGAATTTGTCTGGAAAAATTTTTTCGAACATTTAACTGGTCTGATCCCGGAAGTTTTTTTGACCTTTTTTTTAAATTAATGTCTGGAAAATTTTTTTACCACCTCCCCCCTCCCAACATTTTTGGGAAAAATAGGGGCCCCCCGAAATAAAAATTTGCCCGGCCCCCCAAATTTCTCTGGTAGGCCCTGTTCACAGGATGCATGGGCAGATATATGGGACCTTTCATTTTCCAATTCAAACAATGGGGTATATACCAGTAACAGAAAATACTGTGCAGGCAGTGCAGCTTTACCAACAAGTAACCAGAGCAGCCAAAATTCTGTTTACTAATTATATTTTCATAATTACCATACCTTCTTGTTTTCCAGTTATCACTTCAATTTGAGTGGAGGAGAAGAGAAAATCAAAGTGTAATGGAATGCCATTTATTAGATTTTTTATGATTGCATCTTGTTTCTTTTTGGACAGCAATCTCATGCCAGCCGTGGCAAGGATATACAGAGGTGTTTCAGAATGTTTTGACTTTGGAATATGATTTGCTGCATGTCTTAGTAATGGATAAATATAATTTGATGCATTCTGAGGTTTATCTTCATATGTTGAAATCCCTTTCAAAAACAAATCAGAGGAATTGGTTAATTTTTTCCATCTAATTATATTAATGTAAATGAGCTGTCAGCAAATAATACTTGTTTGTTTCCATTTTACCTTTTATCTGACACAGACACTGCCGCATTAGAAATTTTATTATTTTTCTGCCGTGAAAGTTTGCCACAACAGCAATATTTTACATTAACCCATTAAGCGCTGCTAGCACTCTCCCCTTGACAAGTAAAATTATCTGGGGTTAGACATCAATAAATTAACTAGACACATGGGCAGCTGCATAAGCGTCAGCACTGTCATAGGAGATTTCCTGTTAATTAAAGTGCAAAATTTTCCACTCTGGCTAATACTGATTTGGTTAGGACCAAGCAATGGCGCCGCCAGCTCAATAATTGGGGGCAAATATTCATATCTTCGTGTTCTGCATTATTAACTTCTTTTGAAATCAATTGTTTTTATGGTCTGTGAACACAAATATATGAATATTTGCCCCCCCTCCAATTATCGAGCTGGTGGCACCACTGGGACCAAGACACTCACCTGGTCGGACTTTCATTCGTACAGGCTGTCCATCTTGATCAATCATTTGCTGAATATTTAATAAGTGTTCTGGATTGCCATTATGATCTGGCCAATAATAAATAAATACTCTGGTTCCACTACTACCACAGTCTAGTACTATACCATAATGAAACTTTGAACTTTTGCCATGTAACCACAGGCCATTCCCGGCGATAACATTAAATTTATGTCTTGATTTGTCCTTACGCACATCCATTGTTATCATCAAAATTATCAGAAAGATAATGGCAATGGCAACTAAAAGAAGGTATCTTCCATTTTGACTGTTTTTGCTTGTCGGATCTGTCGTGTTTTGTGATGGGGAGAAAGTCATTTTGAAATTAAATGACACAGGAAAATTTGTCCAGGGACATAGGATCCTGAAAACAAATTATAAATTAAGTTACAATATTTATAATATTACAGTATACTTCAGAGTATAGTATGCACAACTGAATTGGCATGTTGTATTACTTGTATAATTTATATAAACAGAGGTTGATTAAAAAATGCTGATTGTTAAAGCCATCCTGAAATGCTAAAATTTAAACAACTTCACACATTTTACAGGTTACATAACAGAATAAATTACATGCCAAAAAATATGAATGACTTGACAATTTGTAAAAATTTTTCTTGACAAAGATGGCCTTTCAACTCATAAAAATGTTATAAATTTTTTTTTAGCAAACTAAAGGGATTCCCAAAACCCGTTATCTAGCTTACCTTCGTGGCATCTAGTTCTTGTTCAGCTGGAAATAAACTGTACATTATATTTATCAAAATAAGTTCATTGAGAACATTTCACGTCGTTCATGCTTTATTTTGATTGTCGAACAAGAAGACACGTCGCGAATTAGGGATATCAGGTGAATTAGGGATATCTGCGGTCAGTATGGGTGAAGTGGGGACAACTGGAATCAGAGGGGGTGATAAGGGATAATCAGGGTCAGTTTAGGTGAAAGAGGGATAGTTGGGTCATTCTATGTGAATTAGGAATATATTGGGAGTGCAAGTGAATTAGGGATAAATGGAGTCCGTAGTTAGTTAACAAGGAATAGCTGGAATCAATATGGGCGATTTAGGAATAACAGGGGCTAATGAGGGTTCATTAAGCATAAACTGCAGCAAAGCCACAATTTGGAAAAAACTGAATAATATGGTAATAATAATTTGCAGGCTTGCAATTTGCAAAAGTTTATTCTCAGTACTATGTATGCGCTATCCTTTGTCATATGAAATTAAGTGTTCCAACTAATCCCTTTCAGCCAGCGTGGCCGGTTTACCTTTGAATTTAACTCTCTTAAAAAATTGTTCATCTTGGATAACTATGCAATAAAGGCTCGTCAAATTGTTCGTACAGGATGCAGTCGCCATTATTTTAAATTGATCGATATTATTAATTGGCGAGACCAAATTTCAGGAAAAGTACAAAAGGACGCAAAAAAATTGGGGAAAAGTTTTAATTTTCCTCTTTCCATTTATTAACCCAAGATGGCGAACTGCACGATGGTCGAAGCGTAATAAAGGCGCATACTATACAATTTGACGAGCTCAGTTTCTTTAAATATAAAAATCTCTGTTGTTACGTACTACTTCTCAAGTCCTTCAAAGTCACTTCAAAGATATCATCCAGTATCCATTATACCGTGCCTTTATCTTGATAAGAAGGTTAAGAGCCAATGAGAGAAATGTTTCGGCACAGACGTGTTCCCTACATGTTTTCAGAAGAGATTTGTTCTCGGAAAGTGATTATTACAAAATTTTCGTCAATACATCAAAAGTATTCCACCAGACAAGATGTCTCGGTAACCAATTGACACAAGCTCTTGAAACAATTTTAAAATTCACACAGAATCTTAACCTCCCTACTTGCGTTCGATGCGATTTCCTACAGCTATAACCTCATGCAAGCTGCGGCACTGGTTAGGACGAAGCGGTTCTGTTTGACTACAGGTCTGGAAGCTTTGCTTTCTCTCTCTTACCAAATACAATCCTAATTCATCATATCTGTGTTGACGGGGTTCTCGCTCGGATTTTTTGATAGGTTTGTGATATCACGGCGAAATACTGAGAGGTTTTGGGTAAATCTGTAAAAATAAATACAGAGAGAGTTACTTAGTAAGTGCAGTATATGATACAAGTGCATGGTGTAAGCGGTGGTGGCAACCTCCTCAACTATTGGCACTTTGGGGGTTGAAGCAAATCTAAATACAAGACAGCCACATCTGCGTATATACTATTCTACAACAAGCTGCTGTAGTTGGTGTCTGAACTACCTTATATAGAAAGACGAAAAATACTTGTCTTTCGTCAGGACTTTAATACCGTCTTTGCTTTATATTATTCAGTAATGCATGATCATTATCGTAAATATTCAATTACGTCCCCCTCTCAAATAAGCCTCCGCGTGGAATAACCGTACCTGTCTCTGTTTTTCCCGTTAAGAGATCTTTCCACATTTTGCATAAGAGCTTTGAAACATTCAACCATGGGTTGTTGTTTATTGATAGGTTGTGAAGCCACGAGATTTTGCTCCAACTCAGTAAAGTACTGTTTAATGAAAAGAAAGAGTTGCATCATCTAAATTGTTTTAGAATGTAAAGATGTTGAACTGATTCGTCATTTGAAAGACCTTAACAGTATGCAATAATCTCAAGGCCATGTTACACGGTGCAATTTTTCTTGCAACTTCCAATGCAATTCAACTCTTGAGAGATGCTAATCAGTGAAATCAGTGAAGAATTTTCGATATGTTGAGAAAACATCAGCGGAGTGTAATGAATACTCGTATTTGGCAATTTTATACATCTCTCAAGAGTAGAATTGCATTGCAAGTTGCAAGAAAAATTGCACCGTGTAACATGGCCTTTAGTCATGTATGAAACCCCTTATTATCTACCTTTTCATTTAATAAAATCAAACCAAGAAGAGGCCTTGACATCGACCACTGAGAAAATAAAGAAAATTAACGAGTTACGAGTACTACCAATAAAAAATATAAGATTCTTAATTGATCGAAATACAGTTACCTGATTTTTACAATCTTCGAACATTATAATGTTGAGAACAGTGGACAGTAACTGAAAGATTTAAGATTACAATGCAAAATAAGTTTAGTGTTGTGAAAACTTGACGAGCTAAATATCAAAACAAGACGTAGTACCTGTCGTAGAACCTCCGGGTTAAGTTCCAGTGTAGTCAGACACGAAAATTCCTCTGTTGCCGTACCCTGTGATACATGCTTGTTTCGCTTTGATAAAATTTTAAATATATATGATACAATGTTATCCAGTGTTGCACAACAACTTGTTGAGACCATTGAATCTGAAAATGGGGAAAAATACATTGGAATGAGAATGTTGAGACCTTACTTAACAGTGTGTGCATGACTAATGTAACTAATTACTATACTAAGGAATACACTGACTGACATATAGTTATAACCTATATGAAGGAACATACCTAAGGCAACCAGACCATCTGATATTGACGATAATACATACAAAAAAATCTGCAGAAAAATAATCAATATGATGAACCTTTAGCCTTTGGTGGCTTTCAGTACAAGTTACAGAACAGGAGTTAGTGGAACGTCAAGTTTCTAAATTTACAGTTTCTAAACTATTTTTCAAAATAGTATAGGAATTGATTGAACAAACTTTTTTTTAACTTACATTTGGTTCGAGGTTGCCGACAAAACTCATGTGGTCTTGCGTGACAACTTCTACTAAATTATAATACGCGTGACTTAACTTTGGATAATCCTACATAAAAGACATGAATATCGTGCATGAACAAAAGCAATACTAAAACAATGTGATAACACGCTACATGCCTTGAAAGATAAAGGTATAGGGGGCTGATAATTATCCTTTCTTGCAACTGAGAGCTGTTTTGCGAAGGATGCAGGTCAAATGTGCCCGAGTGGAAGGCTTATTACTTCCTAGGGTGACTTTGACTGCCGCACATGCGCATCTGTTATCGTCGCTACATACACTGGCACTGGAAGTTGATATCATATATAAGATAGTCTTACGTGTTTTCCAAAAATAATTCATTATGTCATCATCTGGCTTACCAAGATGTCTTTACGTGGTATGGAGTAGGCAAGCTTGACAAACATATTGAGTGAATTATTGAGAGCTTCGTCACCATATAAATTAAACACGCCAAAATTAACATATCCTCCAGACAATGCAGCTTTTAGCATGTTGAAACATATTGATATACCCTTGAACGTAAACTTATCATTAAGGATAGTATAACGAAAATGAATTGTGATAAAACTTTCATGAAATAAGCATAAAAGATAGTTAGGCTGGTCATTAAGTCTTTTCATATCCATTCAGACACGGCAGAGAACAATGGGTAACCCACCGTCTCGAGAGTGGAATTTGAATTCGCATCCGGGGCATTCTAGACCGCTGCTCTATCCGTAAAGTTGTCGAGCCAACGGAGGATTGCTAGCCAGTTTTATGCAATTGAAATGCAAGAAATATTTTCATGACGACTTTTAAGGTGCGTTATTAAAACGCCTGTCTTAGAGGACGTGCAGTGTTTTAATCTATACATAATCATTCTCAAAGATATGAAAAATTCTTCAATATTAATTCTGACACTACAGATGAAAAACGAAAATCGTTGTCTAGACCATTTAAGATAATTTGTTGGATCATTCTGTGTAATTAAAAAGGATATTTCAAAGTGTATGCTCTGTCTGCGGGTACATCGCTGATGGTTAGAATAGGTGAACCTGAAACAGAACAAAATAAACAAATGTCGACAGAGAAAGAAGTACTTGTTTACATAAGACCAGGACGACGTCAAACCGGTCTGAAGCCATCTTAAGTTCGAGTCTTAAAGATAAATTGATTCTCTGTCACCTTACCATATGCTACTAATACTTTGCTGCATTCGCGAAACAAAAGTATTCCGTTTGGTGAGGAAACTCCGAAATGTAATCTTTGAGATCTGTTCTGCATTAACTCCGTCATAAGTTTTAAAACTGGCGTAGTTACGTTAGGGTCATGATACCATAGTTCTAATGCACGCACCAGTACCGGTGTGAATTGTGGGTATCTAGCTCTTTATTAAGGCGATAACAACATGGAAACTAGCAACAAGAACAGCAACAACAAACGAAGAGGACTACAACAGCAACAATAACAACATGAATGACAACGATAACAACAACAAATGAACGACGACGACGACGACAACAACGACAACGACAACAACAACAATACTAATAACAATAATAATAATAAAAACGACAATAACGACATCAACAAGAACGATGACGACAACGATGACAACAACAATAACGACAACGACATTTCTCTTCATTCTTATTTCTCTTCTGTGTTCAAAGTGTTCATCTATCTGAATGTATACATATATCAAATAAATAGGTAAATAGCATTACAGTGTAGTATATACGACATCAATTAAGGATACATCCAATCAAATAACATCATATAACTAGCTTTACTTGTTAGTGCAAGCGTCAAGCCAGTTAAGTCCCGACAAATACCGACCAGAATTCTCTATAAGAATTATGTTATATATACTTATCAGACACAAATAATTTATTAAGTTTTATTTTATCAAGTACTCAAAGATAAGATTATATATTTTATCAAGGACATGGGATGAAATACCTTTGTTTCATCGATTTGAAATGCATTCGGATCACCCTTTATAAGTCTGGATGTTATGGTTCGAAATGTCCCTAGAAAACCCACAATATACACAATCAGATATATGTTTGATTATGGTGGAGTGTTCGTAGAACAGTGGTTAAGTTGTGATTTTCAACTCCACAGTGAGTTCGACGTCTGCAGCATGTGTACAGTTAGTACAAATTTAGTTAGTTTAGATTGTGTCGGTTACAATTTGTCAAATCCTTTTGGCCCTTCTCTTGCTTTACAGAACTGTCACGTGGATGCTATTACTACCAGGAATCTGTCTTCGACAGATTCTAAATGTGGAATGGCAGAACAGAATTAACAATAACGCCGTCTTGGAGAGAGAAAATATAGAAGAGATGCATGACATCTTGAAATAACAGTGCGATGGTGTGGGCTTATAAAAAGAATGAAGGACATGTTATCGAAAAAAATTATGTTTGATGAACTGGAGACCGGAAAACAGTCACAGGGAAGAACGAAATTAAGGAGTGAAGCGAGAAGCTTAAAGGAATTTGGAGTGGGCCTATACATTAAGGAAGAAGCACACAAGATAGAGGAGTATGGCGGAGGATGTTGAAAGATGATGCTCAGACACGAGTGACTTCCTGAAGACAAGACAACACGAAGCAAGCATGAGAAGAAAGGGAGACGAAGCAGCAAGAAGAGGGATGACTGTAAGGAGTGTTCAACAACTTTCAACATGTGGTAGACTATGCAAGGGAAGAGTTGGATTACTTCCCAATCACACCAATGAGATGTGCATAGGCGAACTCGCTAAATACATGCGCCAATGTTCTTTTCCCAGGCATCAAGCCATAAATTACAACCTGATAAAGGTATCATAAATTGTTCAAATTTTTCCTCATTTTCTCCAAGGTCAACAATCAGTAATCTTCCCAAAGCGACATAGAATGTGGTTCTACATCTCATGTCAGTATACTGGCCACCAGTGTTCGCGCCAAGAAATGGAAAATGTTCCGCCTAGGAAGAAGAAATGAAAGCTTTAAATTTCAGTACAACTTTAGGCAGAGTAACAGTTGCAACTCGTCCTATAAATGGGTGAAAAGTAAAATTTGCAGTAAATTAGCAAAACACTGGTTCTAAACATTATATGTCAAAAAAAACCTACAATGTTTAGTTGTCAGGGGCAACCATCGTTACACAATGCTTTTCCGAAGAGCCGCGTGTAAAGTTTGTTGGAAATTGCAGCCTATAGTATCGCGGTTGATCGTAGTGTGCCTTTCACCTCAGTATCTTGAGAGAAAGTGCTTCAAGTTTGACCCTACCAAACACCGCAGGTTTTCTTTGGGTACTCCGGTTTCCGCCTGTAGAAATACTGGACAAACAGGGACACATGGCCATTACTAGACGTCTAATGTTTTCATGAGAAATAGTTAATTCAGATGTCCGCTACTAACTCGACGCGCACATATACCATCCGTTATTACGATACATGTAAATACATGGAATAACTTACTGTATGATTTCTAAGTATAAACTGTACTGCTTCAAGCTTCTGTAGTTTTCTTACACTGCTGTAGGTAAATTTAGTCAAGAAATAATAATCGATTATTTCGTAGTTTGACTCCGCACCCAGTCTTCTTGGTGAGGTATGTGACGCATGATGGGGACGAACCAGTGAGCTCCATTATATACTTGGAGCAACAAATTCGGCCAAAAAAGCGAAGCCAAGATGGCGGCCATTGACGTTCAAAATCTATGAAGGTCGTAAATAGTTTTATACCATTTTCCCCAGCTAATTCTAGTTTTTCTAACAGATCGTATCGCTAATCAAGTTATCAGTTCATAAAACTATAATATTATCCTTTAAAATGAAGTCAAAACACGAAACTTCGGCACACTTCTTGCAGCCTTGTGTTAACCGCGCCGGCAAAAACACCAGAAAGGGACTGGACGTCAATTTCCGCCATCTTTGGTTTCACTTTTTCGATGTGAATTTTCACACCAGATATATATGGAGCTCACTGGGACGAACATGCATTCTTTTCAAACCTCATTCGCTTACAAATAATTTCATAAACTGGGTCGCCATTGCTAGCTGAAAATTTGATATGTTCCATAACGAGGGACGGGATACGAGTCAGTATAGTTTCCCACTTAAAAGTAGTTCGTGAATGGCGTATATTGGAGCCCTAGGGAATAACGGTATCGCGTGTAGTATCGATTTGTTGTATGTCATGTTTTAAAAGTCAGTTCAATTTAAAAGGATATCCAACAGACAGGTCACTGAGCAGCTGAAGAGTCTTGGGAATAATGGCGTCACTTCGCATCCAATATTTGATATTCGTTACACTAGAGGAGAAAAACGTAAGCATACTTAAGAACGGTCATTTATTACAAAACCGTCCTTTCTTTGAAAAAAATGAATAGGTAGGAATATGAAATAATACAATAAAATGATCATGTCTTCTATCATACTTTACAAGCACAACCAATTAAAATTGACCAACTCGTACCAAAAATCATAACTTACATTTTCGTAACAAAAACACTTAAGACCATTGACTCGTCATGTAGACCAAGACGTTCAGACACTATCCTATACGCCTGAAAACACAAAAAGCCATTTTTCAATTTTAACTAGATTTATGATTTTTTGCCCTAATTCACGGTATATATGTACAGTACAGTATATTTGTATAGCAAACCTTAGACGTCTTCTGAGCCTGGTCCCCAACATAGATTTTTCTGAACTGGTCAAAGAAACTGAGATACGAAAGCTCCATTTTTTCACAGCCTCTCTATGAAAAAATAAAACAAAATATATAGACATGCACTTGCTCTCATGATTGAGTTGTGAATGTTGAGATGGGTGCATGCATACTGTATACCGTAAGAACATTCAAAACTCATTCGCTCGTTCACATGCATCAGAATAGGAAATCACAAGCGAAAATTGCAAGTGTTAACGGGCCTTAACGTACATATATAATATATTATATACCAGTGCTTATATGTACCTGTGATAGTTTGCTATCCGTGAGAGTCATTAACTGCAATACCCTTTAATATAGAGAAATCAAATTTAAACTAGTTAATATGATACACGTGCTCAAATAAAGTCTAAGGGTTAGGTTTTTGGTGAAGAAGGAAAACCACAGAACTGGAGATGCTGAGTAATTTAATCTGGTCATGGATTTCTATGTTTGAAAATTAAGAAATGATACTGAACCTGCAAACTAATTCTCCGTCTAAAGCATCATACTCTTCGAACGTTGTGTAAGTCGAACCACGGCCACCGATCACTGCTCCGATTATATAAACAAGCCACGTTAAACGACCTAAAAATAACAAACAAACATTTAGTAGACAAATTTGATACATAAATTTTTACAATGATTGTACATATATAAAGTTTTAACAAAACGAAAACCAACCTTCATAAAGTGGTATGTTTGATGAAGATGAAGAACCAGGTTGAATAGCTTCTTCAAACGATTGTGCATTTTGATCAAATGTCGAGATGAGAAGAGTACAAGTCTTTGGGTATTCAAAACGCCCAATTGTTGAAATCTATGATAGACGACAAAACGCATTAGAATGATTTAAATGTATTATTTGAATATCTTGAGCACATCTTTAAATGATAAAAAGGAATTCAATCACCTGTTCGAGTTGTTGTGCCACTGTTCCTAGATCATCAAGTGGATCTTCTATGTTGTCCCTAAAAGATAGAAACATTTCCTCCTATTCTTGTGATTCGTTAGTGTTCAAATTGCGTTCAACGTAATCTTAGCGCGGTACTACCAACAACTGTATAAGACGACGACGACGGAGCAGTCTCGGTGTAAAAATGAATAAACACAGGCAGCACTTACCGTATAACAACTTGGACACTGTCTATTCTAGACGTAATATATGCTTTTGTTATCTAGAAAAAAATACACACAGATTATGCAACACACAGTTTGTCTGCATGCATTTTTATCCAACTTACTTTGGCACGATGAGAACTACTTAGTCTAAAAATGGGACAGGTTACCTCTGGCGTATATGTTTCCAATAAATGAGGTTCAGTTGACTTGATATAAGGTGTTGAACAAACCATTCTTTGCCACAGACCCAGTAGATAATGAATACTGTTAGGAGAGAACTGCCACATCTACAAATTTCAGAAAAGATCTCTTTTTGGTCTCGTGTCGTTACAGGAGAAAACTATAGTACCTGGAAAAAACCTGCAATCTGTAAATGCTGACCTGATTGCCATCCTATCGTCATATCAGGACAGCAAAAAATTCTTGATGAGCATACCTGTAAGCTGGTGACAGTGAATTTCGCAATCGTTGCAATCAATGCAGGATAACCTTCGACTTTAACAAGTTCTGCTAATTGATAGTTTGATTTCAGGCGGGACATAAGACGACAGAATTCATGGTAATTACTTCGTTCAGCTAAAGACTAGAAACAATAAATTGAAACACAAACGTCAGATCTCATCGTAAAAACTGCAATTTAAAGTAAAGAACTATGTAAAGTGTATGTTCATATCTCAATCATGTTTGTCTTTTTGAAAGATGTAATGTGATTAATTCACTCAAGGGCAGAACAGAACAAAACACAGAACACAGAACACAAAACAGAAGACAAAAATGGTAAAAGGTACCTTTTAGTGGCTATGACATCAATCGTACCCCTGTACAATTACCGTTCACTTTGCTTAGATATATACTGTATGTTTACACTAACACAATACTGAAACAAATAAAAATATATTTACTTGTGGTGAATCAAGTATCCCTTTGATTCCACTGACAATTTTATCCAGAAATTTTGATCTCTCTGCATTGCTGAAGAGTGACCGCCTCACAGATGCAATTTGTATTAAACATCCAAGAGCCTGAAACACATAATACAGAAACGAACCATGTGATTTATATTTTTATTTTTATAATACCATGTCGGTGCCAGGACTGCAAAATCTTATTTTCTGGCACTGCAAGGCCAACGAAAACATTTTCTGCAAGCAAAGGAACAGCAAATCTTATGGTTTTAAAATTTTATCAGTGTATTCTAGACAAATTCTAGACATCCTTTCGGTCATCATTTTTGTCTATATGATCTAAATATAATTGTCACTAAAATTAGTAAAATACACGTTCTTTCCTTTTTTAAGACTTTTTACCTTTTACGGTTTAACTTCCATTCGTTTTACCTTTACCGTTTTACCTTCACTGTAAGTCAGAACCGTCTATTATTTAAACTCTCTATTATTATCTTTAACCACTTCTGTATGCATGCATGCATGACGAACTCGAAGAGCCTTCAAACGAAACGTCCAACTTTTTCAACTAGGGTCGCTTGTACCGAAAATAAGGGAGGGACTTCGGTTAATTTTAACTTTAAAAGATATTATTCTCAAACATTATGAAAAATATGTTTCAAGCATAAGTAAGTGACTTACCAAAGGCGAGAGCGTCGAGGGCAGCGCATGATAAAGATCAAAGAACAACTGTAGTGAACCAAAATTAAGAAAAGCTGAAAAACATTAAGGAAGTATTTTATCTTGTTATTTTATATACATGCATGCGCTGTGCAACGTATACAATGCAAGCTATACAGGTAAAGACCGTATTTCTCAATGCACCCTTTCCATAATTACGTCATCTGGCCTGTGAGCCTCGCTCTTGTGAGCCAATCACCTTGCGTAATTTACTGATGAGAGCGAGGCTCCAAGAGAAAAAAGTATTTGTGACGTAATTATCGAAAGTGTGTATTGAGAAATCTTGGCTGTTACCCGTTGAGAAAATGTGACACGGCTGAAATTCTTGTTATAGTTCTTTTGACAAGACTATAAACAAGTTTTCATGAAGCAAACTTGCTCACAACAGCACTGGTGTATACGATTCTGTCACAACAATGTCAAGACATAGACCATAAAAAACAAGACGCAAATTCAAACGGTTATATTTCGAAAGTATTAAAAAATCATCATTTACAAATAAGTATAAACGCTTAACGCTCTTTATATTTTTGCATACAAGAAAAGTACTATACACGGTCAGGTAAATTTAAACTAAAAATATATACAGTATAGATGTCATTGGTTGTTACTATACAACTCAGATATTAGGGAACTTAGGTTGTGCTTAATCTATAGTACGAGGACGCGACAAAAAACAGTAACTTATGGTTTACTTTTGGATTCGTTACCAGTTAAAATTTGTTTTTTACCTGTATCTGTCTTTTTTTTACAAAAAGAATCCATAGTTTTACCCTTGTTGTTAACACTGCATGAATTTAGTGCGTGCTTTGTCCACGTCCGCCTACTAGATTTACCATATCTTAAGCTCTATACTAAACGTCCGTTTCTATTGGTACATCAGTGGGTTCGACTTCATCATCACTATTTCTACCAACACCTTCTGGCATATGATATTTTAATACCTTAACTGTCCAAGCTAGTTCTGGATTTCCAACAGTTAATTCTTCGACCGTGCGTTTCACATTTAATTTCAGCTTTTCATCCCGCGCTTTTTTTTTTGCTTCGCTTTGTCTTAACGCTATAGTATTAAATACATGTGGTATGATGCTGAGACTCATGGTTGTTACGATTTGAGCTGCAGCAGGAATGTTTAATGCATTGAGCATATTGACTAGCTCAAATATACCATAGGAGAATATGAAACACCACAAAATTTTCAAACTGTAATAAAATATGTTCGTATTGTACGGTAAATATGTATCTCTGATTTTGTCGTACAGCTCCTTGGATACCAATGGCAATACTTTTTCAGATTTATTTCGTGTGCAGCTATTATTATTGCCTTCTTTGTCTTCTTTGGCTTTTATTTCTTGGCATGCTTCGTAAATTATCCATTTTAATGAGATATATTCCTCTTCCAAAAACTTCCAATAATTACAACAGTAAAATGTGAAGACGGAAAAAGATGCGAGATAGGGAATGAAGTTGCTTAGGTTTAGAAGCAATCCTAATAGGAAAGACTGTGACGCGTATACCAAGAAGTAAAGAGTATAGCCAATTAATAACCAAAACCCCATATTGAACAAAATATAGTGAATACGATATAAAGGATTTGTCCATGGACCGTAAGGAGTTTCGACGTAATATTCCAACTCCCTGAAGAAATACGCGAGATCACGCGTTACTCCGATAATATAGAGACAAATTATCAAAACAGCATAGAGAAAGACAAAACAAATATAAAGTAAACAATATAACATTGAATGTAAATAGCATATACTTAGCAGCAAACATTTAAGAGCATTATTTCCGAACTGTATATCTACACATGGGTGAAAGCAACCATTGTGACACTTCTCCAATGATTTTCGCCATCGCTCTATGTCTAATAGCAGAGTTAGTGAATGGATCAGGTCGTCAAAACCTCCAATATCATATTCCTGGCGTAACTTGTACCCTGCTAATCGTGCAACTTTGTTGTACTCTTTTCTGCCGAAGGATCTCATTTTAATTTTTCGAAGGAGAATGAATGGGTCTGTAATCTTACGTCTACACAGATGAAAAGCTGATAACGATATTCCACCGTAGAGGACTAGAAACCCAACAAAGTTGAATGTTTTTATTGGCTTACAAATTAAGTAATAGCAATAAAAGAAGAAACACGTTAATATAGACTTGCGGATAAACGATATTAGGCGACCCTTGTCGTCCCAAATGATTTTAAGGGCAATAGAAGATGGCGAAATTGTAGTTTCCTCCAGCTTGCAGTATTCTGAATATTCTAAGTTGAACACAGTGTACTTCAATAAGAAGGATAGCAACCATATGAAATACAATGGGAAAACAACAAACATAACAATTGTAACAATACGCGGAAAACCAGTCTTGTGAAGAAATGAGTTTCTTTCAAGGCATTTATAATTCAATTTCTTGAAATTTGGCTTTGTAATCTGACAGCAAATTCGACGTACTTTCTCTGATATGTTTTTTCTTTCCAAATAACAAATTTCGTAATTTGCCGGCTGCTTCATGCTGAAAACAATTTGTTTGAGAATATTCCCGGCTACATGGTCGGAGTTTTTCCTTTCAATACATTCCTTATGACTTTCGTTGATATGTAATTTGATGTTTTTTCTTCCAGCGTTCAACGTCCATGGAAAATAGCTATACTGTTTTATGTCAAGCATATACAGAATTTCTCGACCAATCGGATTCACCAATGAAACTTGCGTCATGTTTGCAAACGGCTGGTCGTTGGTTGTGCCATTATGATAGAGGAAGCTAAGATCTAGTATGTTGACGAGACCACTTTCTGTTAGTTGAACGATCTGTATGATTTCCATTTCTTTCATCTGAACAACGCAATCTTTGGAAACGGGCTTATAAGTGTTGATCGCTACAGTGGACAGCTTAGTACTGTTGCTTAGCTCTTCGTGTAAGGCGCCGTCGCTCGAACGTACTGCAGACATATGCATGGCGAAGAATATTAGCCCACAGTAAAAAACAAATGGGAACATACCGTTGGACAAGTTTGGTTAAACTATAACAATTCCTTACAGACACTCTTAAACACACACTAAGTCACTAACTACAACAATATTTTTGCACTCATATTTATACTCCAGGAACAAAATATTTTAGTTCACACGTGATGTTTTAATCAACAGGACGTCCTTTCCCTATCGCGGTAGCGTTACTTACGTATCGGAAGTATGCCAATATTACGGTCTGATACATATTTGTTTTAACCAAGTACCAGATGCACGTAGGTGTGCGGAACTCTTGCTATCTTCCTACTTACTTTTTGCTGGTGCCTGCATATGACTTTCCAAACCCAAGGTATTCAAAACCATAATTAAGTCGGTCTAAGCCCTAAGGATTGGACTAAGGAATGTCAGTGTCGATCGTAGTGTTTGTATATGCAATTGTGCTACTTGTTATAACTTTTAAGGTTGCTGAATGAATACCTTTCAGAAACCTGTGCTTTATATACTTCATTTTATAAAAGACTAAGTACACATTGAGACCTAAGTTTGTACAAGCTCAAGTACGCGGCAATAATCATTGGCCAGTCAGGTAAAAACACGTCATGAGTGTCATATTTTCACCCTACGGAAGGTTCTGAATCGTACTGTTGTATCTACTGTACATATGTTTACGCATAATTTATGTAAATATTGCGTGCTCACGTTTTGCGATCAGCCCACATCGCGCCTTGATCTAGACGTTTCTTGGTTATTTAGCTATTATCAAATTGTTATAGGACTAAAATATTCCCGTGATTTATTTCAAGTTTAAATTGTATTTATTTATCTTACATGCATGAATTTGTAAATAATTTATCATTGCAACTAAATGTACACTTAAGTATTCATGTAGTTTGATACAAATATTTTGCATTTCAAATTGTACCTATGACGTGTTATTTGCATTTCATGACGTTGTTGTAAGAGGTTTTGGCAATCTTGGTCTGAGAGTGTTTGAAACACCTACTTCCCAGCTCCAACTAGTAGCTAGGAAGTAGGTACCTACGTGGTACTTGGCTGAAGACAAAGAAGTACCAGACAGTAATATTGGCTCTTACGTAACTCCGGTACGTAAGCACGCGAATTGTCGCACCCTGAGTCACTTATAGGTATCATATATAAAAATATGCTTGGGTATCGTTACATAAAAATATGCTTATAGGTATCCATACATAAAAATAGAGAGGTTTAAATTTGACTTCGCACCGCTACCATGCACTACCTCTCGCTGGCTTAGTATGCATCTGATTGGGCCCTTAGTCGTAGCGGTAGCGGGAGTGGAAGTCAAATCTGAACCTCTCTATTATCTACCTCCTCCACAAGACCATAACATGTCAAATACATAAACGATATTGAGTTTGGCTAGTTAACATTTATAAAACATACCATATTCAGATAGACGTGAGTGTTTCACCTCAGTTCAATGATTGATCCCCACTTTAAGTCAAATTATGCTAAAGCATTCTGAGTATTTTCTCGGAAGCTCACACAAACCAATTCGTTTTGCAGAGTTGGTTTCAGTGGGTTTCCGGTTATACAAATAATTTCTCTTCGTGAAAAAGCGACGTTTTTCGCTCATGTATTGAAAAAATACAGCGCATACATTTCCTAACAAGGAAAATTGCCTTATTTCTATTCCTGTGCATTATTAAATTCGTTATGGCCCTAAATTCCTAGATCCCGTGCATATTCACGTTTAAAAGGGCGTCTCTGTAAGAGCGGACCACTGGATCTAGGCTTCAAAAATAGATTTCTCTTATATTTCTACCGTCGATACTGTCATCTATCCTAACTACGAAACAGGAGTTAAGATCGTTCTAACGTGGTTTTTACAACCGCTATGCGAGTTTTTGTCCCAGGACCCAAGTTAATTAAAATATGCCAATTTCTGAAATCGCCGAAGCCTACAATCATAGTCTGCTTTCTCTATTTTCTCTGCTAATCAGAGCTTCGTTTTCAGGTCTGAGCTGCACTAGAGCACAGATTAAGTATATACTAGATGCGTAACTTAATAGGAATTCGTGTCCTCAAATTTCCCTAGATGTACACGTCATGCTCACGCCATGACACTTGCTAGGAAGATGGCGTCCTGGAAAACAAGAACTTTTGCATTTTATTGCGGCTTTCTTGGATCGAAATTTGTGGATTAAACAATCAAGAACATCATTTGTTGAGTGTTTAAAGTTATTAAAAGCAATTAAAGTTGTAGAAAAGGTGTTGAAAACATTTTTAAAGGCAATGACGTACTACCAAATGACGAATAATCACGCGAGCGACACTTGCTAGGAAGATGGCGACCGTGGGCCAACTTTTTTACTGAAGTTACACATCTGTTCTTACTTAATCTATGACTAGAGTGCTCTTTCTACTAAGAAACAGTAATATATAGCTGTTTAGTTGCAACTGGCAAATAAAAAAATTTTACTAATCGAGACCCTTCAACGCATGATATCAAATTCGAGAATTATAGGTCCTAAAACATTGCAGAATTCTCATTTGTGGCACCGGCCCAGGTTCTAAATCGCTTTTTAACTTTGAGATAGGATGCTATTCCATACATCTACGCAATAAAATTTGCGGCACATTGCATTTCTAAGAAATCAGGAAGTTGACAATTTTTGCATTTTTTAGCTATTTCTCCGCGTGACACAAGAACCTAATTAACGATGAATATATGTCCCTGTGCTGTTATTAGCCTCACTGTTACTATCCAAAAATCAAGAATACATTAAAAACTTGTTCCTAAATGTCCTTTTCCTGATTCTTAAAGATTTATTTAAGTAATTTCAACCCTCTTTTAAGCGATTTTGGAATTTGCTAATACAACATGGACATAACATTTAATATAGCTCGCATAATTAATAATATGCATTCGTCCCAAATTTTGTATGAAATTTTATTCAAAAATCATTTTATAATATAATATAATATAATATAATATAATAGCAATTGCAATGAATCAGAATAGGCACAAATACTAGCGTAGAATATCAGAAATAAAATGACTCGTATGATTTTAGAAATTAATTAATAACAAGACGCTCAAAAGAGCGTTAACTCGCTGGGGCTATACAGGGTGTATAAAAAACTAAACAGATTTGAAATTGCTCTCAATTTCGCAAAACAGCTATTAGTATCCAATTTTTGTATGTATATAGCTTCCTTGGGTACTTATAATGTACTGTAGAATAATGAAAAAAAGGTGGGGGGGGGGGGG